TCAGAGCAATGAAAGCAAGACTCAGAAATGAAAGGAGACAAATCCAGCTTCTTCATCCCTTTAAGACAAAGGACAGCAACTGTTCTTTGTTTGGACAGGAGAGAAGCAGCAGCTACAGCAAGACGATGCACTCCAACACCTCTGTCCAAAACCACCACTGGCAGCCCTTGCCCAGGGCCACCTTTCATTTTGTGTTCAGGGTGTCACCCCTGCTAGTTTCAGCTTGTTTCATAAACCTGACAGACAAAATCTACATTGCCCTCTTCCCAAACACTTCCTTTTGTCTGTAAGGACCCTGTAACATTAGACACATCAACACAGATGCAAGCAAGCTAGCACTCACCCAGCAAGAAACTCATGCAGCTGCAGAATTACTTTTTTTTTAAGATTATTTTGAAGACAGATCGATTTCCTAATTAAGGTCACCCACACACATCAGCCAAAGACAGCGCAGAAAAAATGCGTACAGACTGCAGCCTTTTTTTTTCATCCAGAAACAGTGCTGGCTTGAGGGAACATCAAACTACACCCTGTCAGGGAGCAACACTCCAAGGGGCCATAAAAGAGACAGTTTGCAGTGCAATATTTCAGGGAGTTAAACTGCATGCCATGTTCTGAGTTCTAGTTATTCTGGTTGCCAAGCCAGACAGAGGCTTGGGTGAGGATGAGCAGCAACTGCCCTCAGAACACCCACATTAACAAAATAACATCCCTCATTCTTCCAAACATAAATAAATCAAGCTGGATAAGAAACGTCATAATAATTTTCACTACTTGCAGGCTTTTGTTTATGGAAAAATTGTTGTCAGTGCCACTAATGCACAACTTTATTAGATGCATACCTTAACTGCCATTCAGGAAAGCAGGACACAGAATAAAGCATAACCTTGTTTCAAACATTTAAATTGTATGGAAGATATTTTCTACCACAAAAGACACAGTTTCTTAATAAACTCATCTTTAACATGATCAAATCTTTTTAAACTTTATTATTTGCTAAAACCAAAATTCTATGAAGTCTTGCAAGTAAACACCTCAGTGCACCACACACATGGCCTGACATTTTTGCTTTAAAGCTTTGGGGATTAAAATTTTACACAAATAGTGAAGTTATCTCATTCAATCATTTGCTCTAAGCACACACTAGATTAGACCAGGAATTGAGACGCATCCCCATGCGCAGTGATCTTAGAACACTCAGCCCTTTGCACTACAATGCACAGAAGTTTATTGAGTGCTTGGGCAGGGGGGTGTGTGTGTGTGAAAGGATTAATCCACAAATCTTATCCCCTTCTTATTATAGAATCGCTTCTATCTCTTCCTTCCTCCAAAAACAAAAAAGCCCAAATTTCTCCCCCCATCATCTCTTTGCAGTGACTTAAATAGGGGCACAACACGGTCTTCTCCCCGTCAAGGCTCTGCAGGCCGCCTCCGCCTCTCCGCTCCTTCCCCTCACCGAGGCGCGGTGACACCGGCGAGGCGAGAGGGCGAGCCACAACACGCTAACTCCCTCCGCGGGGCCGGGAGCGCAGAAGGTCGCCGTCCCGGCGAGCAGCAAGGCCGCTCCACCGCCCTGAGAAGATCCAATGAAACTGCAAAATCACCCTAGGCCTTGTCTGGGCCACCACGCTCCCCCAGTTAGCGAATCGCGCCGTAGGGCCAGGCCGCCCCTCACAGCCCTTCAAAGGAGCCCCCGCGACGCCTCGGGCCGGCAACGCGAGACTGAGCAGTACCTGTGCGCTGTTGACCGCCATGACAACGCCCACCCGTGAAAAAATCAACGTCTCCCAAAAAACTCACACCGCCGCCATCTCCTCTCACACGCAGCGCGCAGTCGGCACGCACTGCGCTTGTGCACGGAGGGGCTGGGTGGGCGCGCTTCTGCGCCTGCGCGCGGGCCGAGTGGTGGTGGCTGATGGTGGCTGTGTAGCTGTGGTGGCGGCTGGGACAGTTTTGTGGGAGGTGGGATTGTTCAGAGGTGAGAGGATGGGTGAGATAAAGTTAAGAACTTCGCTTTCGGGCGAGGTGGGTCTAGGCTGAGGCTAGTCGGCGGTGGGAGCCTGGTCCCCCATTACTGAGGCTGCGGGCAGCTGAGTAACCCAGGGAAGGCAGCGCGGCCGGCCTTGTCCTACCGCAGTGAGGTAGTGCGGTGCAGGAGAAACGTAGTTGGAAAACTGCACGTAGCCAGGCTGCCCCCAAGGAATTAATGCAGGGTTCACCTTGAAAGGCTGTAAAAAGCTGCATGTCACTGCTTGCTCTGGCAGGTGAGAGGCAGGATGCGTATCCATGCAAGGCAGAGTGAAGCTATACTAAGTATGTCCCAAATGATGAGCATGGGAATGGGTTCAGCATTTGTATCTGGAAAAAAACAACCCTCAAGGGATTAAGCCAATTTCATGATTTTGAGAGGACTGACTCATAACTGAATACTAAAACTTCCAGGCAAGAATCCATTATATTCGTTGCTAATTTACTCTGTTGTTTGGGTTTTTTTTTCCTTAAACTACCAATTTCTGCAGAAGTATAGTTCAGTTGGGATGCAAGTAGTAGAGGAAGATTAACCATAAAAATCGAAGAGAAGGAAATAAAGAACTATGTGGCTTTGGCTACTCAGAGAGGAGGTTCACTTACAGCAGAAAGAAGATTCATCCACCTTTCTATGATAAGAACATTTCAGTCTTGTTCTATGAAATGCAATGCTTCATGTGTGCTCATGGAATGATTTTCTGTATTGGCCTTTGTCCTTTTAGCAGACACATCCTGCTGCCGCTCCGTTCTTTTTCCAGCAAGTGTTGCTCTTCTGTCTTAAGGCAGAGAACTAGCAGTGAAAACAGCTGTTTAATATTAAAAGAGAGAAACAAAGAAGGGAGACAATTGTATAGGTATTTTGCATACAGCATTTCAAAGGTCTGAAATCCCCTCTCCACTCACAAGTCTAATTTACAAGGTAAATAATGGAGTGGCTCATCTGCTTAAAGGCAAAATTCCCTTCTGCTCACAGTGCTACCTAAATAAACAGCCTGTTTTTGCTGGAAAAAAGACCCTTCAAATGACTGAAAATACAAATGAGGATAATGCCTCCCTCCTGAAAGCCAGTTAATTCAAATACCAATGCTGTTAAATGCTGTAACTAATGGCGAAAACTGACATGGGCAGAAAGGATGTCACTATCTCATAGTTCAGCAACATTTAAAACAACCCATCCTGGTAGTTTCATTGGAAAATGTGTTAATTTACCACAAATATTTTGCAATAATATCAGTTTTGTAAGATTTATTGTAATTGAATGCTTTACAGAAACTTACCTGCTGGGAAGCATGCACCTCAGTTCTTTTTTATCGTTCACATTTGCCATTTTAATGGCCTGTTATTGCATTACTGCTTACTGTATTGCCCAAATAAGTTTACATCTATCCTTTATGCCAGTGGTGTGAAATACAAACTCACTCCTCTAAACAAGATAACAAGGTTTTATTGAGGGACAAAGTCAATAAAGCAAAAGCAACAGCGCTGGACGCATGACCGTAGCCAGAGGTGCAAGTGATTTCTATTTGCTACAGGTTTATATATTTTCTCTATTACATTAGTTACATACATATTCATAATCCCTGCATGCAGGCGGGGAGTATTATAACTAGCTCCAAGAACTTATTATCATAAGTCTCCTCCTCTTGGCCTCTGCACACTGCTCTCTGGTGATTGTGGGCAGGGGTCTTGAGGATGAAGTAAGCAGTCTTCCTCTTGTGAGTAGGGGTCTTCAAGATGAAGTAAGCAGTCTTCCTCGCAGTGTACTTTTCACCTTTGGCATAGTTGGATGCCCCAGTAATCACACGACTAGCTGAAATCAGCCATATCTGTAATTCTTCTGATAACTAGCAAAGATTTAAAACAGTGGGACCTTCCTGCAAAATTTCTTTCGGGATGGGCAGACAAGGAGTATCCCAAGCTAGCAGATGTTTGGGAGGCTCTGTCTCTAAACGAACTGATAAGTAGAAGGATGGTGTGAAATAACTCATTCATGTTTAGTGGGGCCACTAAATCCTGTTAACTCACTACAGACTTACAACACAAATATTGTTCTTTAAAGGTAAAGGTACTTTAGAAGACTAGTGTGAAACAATTTACTCATGTTTACTGGGGCCACTAAATTCCACAGACTTACAACACATTGTTCTCTTTCTACAACCTATGTTAAGCTAAAAAGTACTTTAACTCATGTTTTCCAGGCACTGGCTTTTCTTATATCAAGCTCCTCCCCCTTTCTTTTACCTTTACAAATTCTTTTGCTATGTGACTCCATTTTGCTCCAGAGTTCTCGCCATTTTCAACTTGTTGTCTAATCTTGTGTCCTTAGTGAACTTTGTTTTTGTTATTGTGAATGCATACAGTTATATTCACATAGCCACACCTATGATTTGGGAAAGCCAATACATTTATGTGTTTATCACAATACAAAGCTACTGCTACTAGCTCTAATAATAATGATAAGGGAAATAATAAGGGGAGAGGATACAATTGCTCACCATGTGCAGACCAGTACTCAGCCCGACCCGAGCAGAGATCTGGGCCTTCTGGGTAACTCCTCCCCCCTCAGTTTATATACTTGGCATGACGTGCTGTGGTATGGAATACCCCTTTGGCTGGTTTAGGTCAGGTGTCCTGTCTGCTTCTTCCCGGCTGTCCTGGGTTCAGCAGTAGCAGTCATGTTTCTCCTTCTTGGTAGCTGGTGCAGTGCAGTGTTTTGACTTTCGGCCTGGGAACAGAACTGATAGCAGTGTTTTGGTTTGGCCAAGGACTTTGTGAGCCTCATGCTCTGCCAGGGAGGAGGGGAAGCCAGGAGGAAGCAGAGACAGGACACCTGACCCAAACTGACCGAAGAGGTATTCCATACCACAGCACGTCATGCCCGGGATGTAACTGGGAGTGAGCCGGAAGAGCTGGGAGACTGCAGGGTTGGAGGAGGTATGGGTCGGTGCTTGGTCGGGCTGAGGGGGGGCGAGTTATTGGTCAGCTGGTGCTGAGGTGTTGTATTCTCTTCCCTTGTTATTTCCTTTATCATTATTATCATTGGTGGTAGCAGTAGTGATTTGTGTTATACCTTAGTTACTAAACTGTTCTTATCTCAACCCGTGGGAGTTGCATTCTTTTCGATTCTCCTCTCCGTCCCTCCGGGAGCAGGGGGAGGGCAAGAAAGGGGGGGAAGTGAGCAAACGAGTTACCTGACTGGGTTTAAACCACGACAGTTCTTTTTGGCGCCCAACGTGGGGCACGAGGGGTTGAGATAACAACAGGTTTGACTGGATTAATAGTCACTCATCACAATGCTGATTTATTGGCTCTCAGAGTTGTTTCTCTTGATCTCACAGCTTCAGAATGTTGTAACTTACGTAGAGCCGGTATTTGCTGTGTTAGTGTTTATCAAGTGTGGGGCTTGGGCTAAGGTTCTTGTCTCACTGTGCTTTATGGCAATGGCTTGTAATACGGGCGGGCTCCAGCAGCAGGGCGGGACGGACGTGGCCGTGGACTTGTACCTGGCCGTCCGGCTGCTCTTCACCGTCCTGGCCCTCACCCTACTCTCCATCGTCGTGAGGCTGCGGGGAGCCGAGGGGGAGCGGCCCCGGGAGCCGGCGGCTGCTGAAGCGGCCCGGGAGAGCGGCCCCGGGGACCAAGCGGCGGCGGGAGCGGGGCCGGAGGCCGTGCGGGGCCGGCTGCCGGTGGAGGAGGTCGGGGAGGTCGAGGAGCAGAAGGAAGCGGCTGCCGAGCAGCGGGATAAGGCGGCGGAGGAGCCGAGCCCCGCGGAGGAGCCGAGCCCCGCGACGGCCGAGAGCATTTCCCGGAAGCCGCCCGCCGAGCCCCAGGAGGATGCAGGAGACCACGCAGCATTTCCCAGCAAGGCAGAGGAGGAAGATCTGGACTCAGGAAAAGAGAAGCTGGCGGTGGGAGAGCCGGCAAGTACAGCAGCTGCACCAGCCCCAGTGACAAGTACAGCAGCATCAACTGAGAGTTCTGAAGGTTTTGAATGGCCTTTGGGTATCCTTGGGACCTGCCTGCTGATTGTGATGGGGATCAGCATGTTGGCACACACACAGGCTGTGTTCTACCCACAACCATTTTGTCTGATCTCAAAAGTTAAGCAGAGTCAGGTTTGGGTCTTGTCTGGGGTTAGAAGAGGATATAGGGGGACCAAAAGGTTTTCTCCAAGGCTGGACAGTGATGAGTGGCAGGGTGTGTGGGACAGTATGGGCAAGTATCTAGTCCACTGGGCCCCTCCAGTGCTTTGGAAGCGTCAGAGATGGAAGGCAGCTGTATGGAGTCCCCAGCAACAAGCTGCAGAAATTGTTTAAGGGGACAGTGAATTATTTTGAGCCTGATGGGCCCATGGCACTTCAGGCCATCAGAGCAGAGATGCAACATAGAGATGGACTCATGATCAAGGGGTGGACTTAACAATGGACACTATTGCCCAGGTTATTCATGAGTGTGAACACTGCACACAGTCTCTCCTGCTCTGAAAGATTGTTACAAGAGATGGAGCCTGACATCATGGACCAGATGGATTCAGCAGCTTTATAGCTACTGGTCCATGCACTAAGATAAGAGTGATGGTATATTGAAAATGTGGGATCTGAGCATGACATGAATGGTATGGAATAAGGGGTGGATAATGTCCTGGGTTCAGCTGTAGCAGTCATGTTTCTCCTTCTTGGTAGCTGGTGCAGTGCAGTGTTTTGACTTTCGGCCTGGGAACAGAACTGATAGCAGTGTTTTGGTTTGGCCAAGGACTTTGTGAGCCTCATGCTCTGCCAGGGAGGAGGGGAAGCCAGGAGGAAGCAGAGACAGGACACCTGACCCAAACTGACCAAAGAGGTATTCCATACCACAGCACGTCATGCCCGGGATGTAACTGGGAGTGAGCCGGAAGGGCTGGGAGACTGCAGGGTTGGAGGAGGTATGGGTCGGTGCTTGGTCGGGCTGAGGGGGGGCGAGTTATCGGTCAGCTGGTGCTGAGGTGTTGTATTCTCTTCCCTTGTTATTTCCTTTATCATTATTATCATTGGTGGTAGCAGTAGTGATTTGTGTTATACCTTAGTTACTAAACTGTTCTTATCTCAACCCGTGGGAGTTGCATTCTTTTCGATTCTCCTCTCCGTCCCTCCGGGAGCAGGGGGAGGGCAAGAAAGGGGGGGAAGTGAGCAAACGAGTTACCTGACTGGGTTTAAACCACGACACCGGCTTCCCCTCCTCCCTGGCAGAGCATGAGACTCAGAAAGTCCTTGATTGGCGTAAACATTAGCAACAGCTAAAAACCTCAGTGTGTTATCAGCACTGTTCCCAAACTGAAGTCGAAAACACGGCTCTGTACCAGCTACTAGGAAGGATAAAAATGACTGCTACAGCTGAACCCAGGACACCATTCCTCTGGAAGGATGGCCCTAAAAGCCGCATTGCCTGACATACTGGGGTAACCAGCCCCTTCAATATGTGTTCTGCAAGACATTCAAAGAGTAACAAAAACATTTCCATTTTAGTGGTTCTTAAGACTGGTAATGTGAGTCTGTGAGAAAGAGGCAAACATTGGTTGCTTCACAAGCTCTGTGGCATGTACAGAGCTGGTGGGAAGAATGTCTGGACTGGAGGCATCCCAGAAAGGCACTTATGGGCATGTTCTGAGGGCATTTTCCTCCTTTTTTTTTTTCAGGAAAATACTTAGTTGTATTCATTAAAACATAAAATACCTTGGCTTCTGGAAATAAGTAGTCTTCTTATGAGAATAGGTTATCCACATGTGTGGCTTTGCACATAAATAAACAGCTATTATTTTTAATGCAGTGTGTGCCTGGAATAATATGGAAAGAAAGAAAGAAAGATTTTACCATAACAAGCTTGGAAATGCAGAGCTCTGAGAAGATTTAAGAGGGGGCAGCTGTCAAGTAAGCACTAACCCAAACAAAATACATGTCCTGAATGAAATTTGTCATACTGCTGCATGTTTCTCTCCCACTGCAGATATTTAGCAAGTAACTCGGTTGAGAAAAACTCTGCAAGAAGTCATTTGGGAAACAAGTAAGAAAGGAAATTTCAACAAGATGTCTCAAAGACAATGAGTTTCAGAAAACTGTGCCTGTATAAATCATCAGAAAAGAGGTTTGGATGAAGCACTGTGGAGGAGATAGGAGTAACATGTTTTTATATGTGTATATATATAAAGGGTGAGTAGGAAGCGGTTAAAGTCTGCATAGGCCTTTCAAAGTGAAGGTGAGGCACTTGGGTGCTTGTACTATGTTGCTTGCCAACTGTTTCAAGTCAGAATTGATCATAAATGTACAGCACAAGTAATCATTCTTGTGCTTGCGTATGACCACATTTGGTGGAAAACCACTTTTGTACACACTGAAATTTATCTTGGTGAAGATAACACCTACCTGATAGTGTTTGTTTATTCCAGGTATACAGGTGGGATGACCACTCCAATATAGTTCTTCAGAGCCTGAATGAGCAGAGGCACCAAGGCCTCTTCTGTGACATTGTCCTTGTGGTGGATGAACAGAGAGTCCCTGCCCATCAGATCCTCCTTGCTGTTTGCAGCGACTACTTCAACTCTATGTTCACCATTGGTATGCAAGAAGCCCACCAAAAAGAGGTTGAACTTTTTGGAGCCTCTTACATTGGTCTCAAGGTTGTGGTGGATTTCCTTTATGGCAGTGAGCTGTCTTTAGACGGAGGCAATATCGACTGTGCTCAAAACAGCTCACCTGCTGCAGATCTGGAAGGTGGTTGATTTCTGTTGTGAGTATCTGGAGAATGAAGTCAGTGAGGAGAACTATTTGTACCTGCAAGAGCTGGCCTCTATTTACAACCTGAAGAGCCTTGACTCCTACATTGATTCTTTCATCTTGCAGAACTTCGGCACACTGTCTTTCACCCCAGACTTCCTGCAGAACATTTCCTTGCAGAAGTTGTGCCAGTACCTGGACAGCAGCAACGTGCAGCAGGAGTGTGAGCATGACTTGCTGCAGGCTGCCTTGCAGTGGCTTACCCAGTACCCAGAAAGGGAGAACGAGGCTTACCAGGTTCTGGATAACAATCATTTTCCCTTGATACCTAAAAGTGATCTTCTCCATCGAGTCAAGCCTGCTATCTGCTCTCTTCTTCCCAAAGAAGCAAACTATGAGGGGTTTATAGAGGAGGCAGTGCACTATCACAACAATATCACGGCTCAGCCAGTGTTGCAGAACAAGTGGACAGTCCTGCGGACTTGCAAGGACAGGCTTCTCTTTGTGGGTGGAGAGGTTTCCGAGTGCTGCCTGGAACTGAGCGATGATACCTGCTTCCTGGACACCAGAAAGGGGCAGTGGGTAGCAGAGACCCCTCTCCCAGCCAGGTGAAGTCACCACTGTGTTGCAGTCTTGGGAGGCTTCATCTTCATAGCTGGAGGCAGCTTTTCAAGAGACAATGGAGGGGATGCAGCTTCAAATCTCTTATATAGGTATGATCCCCTCTGTAACCAGTGGATAAAGGTGGGACATGAGCTGTATTATTTCTCTGTTTAAAGTCCTTAATGTTTAGAGTGTTTTCTTCTTTTTGGTGAAAGGACAGGGCTCATTAGAATAGCCAACACAGCAATACTTGCAAATGGAAATTCAATCTATTTAAGTTGAAAAAGCAGCTACTTGAATCCTTTGTGGGAGTGCTTATGTTACAGCAGAAGACTTTGGGGCAGATTTTCAACTTCACTTGGGATTTGGGTGTCTCATCTGTGAAACTGTTTGTCAGCATCCATCTGCAACTCTAGAGTACTTTGGGAATAATGCTACAAAGGACTTAGAGAGATGATTGCTTAGTTCATCTTTCTCAAGCAGTAACACATATAGTTATATCAAAACTGGGTATGATATAAAAAGAAAATGTCTCTGACTCTTGTCAATGTCTCTGTGCTAAATGTCTCTTAGAACAAGCTATTCAATCCCAGTCCTGTAAAACCCTGGGGCCAGCACAGATTCCTGTATGAACCAGTCATCCTTTGTTGTTCAGTTGTGGTTTTTAGTGATTCCAGTATATTTCTTGCAGAGTTTTGGAAGGAGGACCATGTAAGACAAAACTTA